TGTGCGTCGGTGACACAGTGGATAGGACTCTCACCGACCATGCACATGGTCCAAGGTTCGACCCGCTGCCGACCCACACCTGATATCTATGGTCGGCCTGCGAAATTCGGGCTACCGATATCCATGCTGAAAATTCCATACTTGTACCAAGAATACAGTGTGAAATCAAGCTGTAATAAAAACTAAAACAAATAGCTCACCTCTTAGTAACTCTTTGTTTTCTAATTTTGTTAATCTTGTTAGCTACTCTTTTCACTCCACCCCCTCCCTTTATTTGTTTATTTATTTTTTTTTTGATTTACAGCTTGATTCCACACTGTATTTTTAGTACAAGTATGGAATTTTCAGCATGGATATCGGTAGCCCAAATTTTGCAGATCAACCATAGATATCAGGTGTGCGCCGGCGTGGGCTCGAACCCTGGACCATGTGCATGGTCGGCGAGAGTCCTAACCACTGTGCCACCGACGCACAGTGGCACTGTATTACATCATCAACTTCTCATCTGACCTCATGTGCACCGAAATTGTAAAATTTTGATCTTCTCTTATCTAATTACGTAACTACAGCTAATATTCTTTTGTTACCACCCCAACAACACAACAGTTAGTAAATTTTTTTCAAGAAACTTCTCTCTACCAAGATATATATATATATATATATATGTGTGTCGTAACACTTTAGACACCCTGTAAATCTCAACGCCTTATTTTACTATGACGCTGTGACAGTATGCTTGCTAATGAACAAAGGTTGTACGTAGCTGATGAGAACCAACGAAATAATATGGATCCAGATTATTCTGTGTCAAGGTTTCTTCATTCTTTGTTCAAAAGCATATGCGTATTATCCACTTTTGAGAGGAATGATTAGGCAAATACTTGATTGATATCGGATGTTAATTTGTTGGTGTAGAAACTACTAGAAAAGAACTGGATTCATGAAAACCAAATTACTAAACCAGACATGATCATCGAACGCAGCTTGGAATGCTGGTTAGCAGACTAAGAAAAGGGCTTTTATAGCACCAACCGTAGAGAAATTTGGAAACTATTCCATCACTACAGGTTACATTAATTTAAACCCTTATAAGACTTATTCAGCTGACGACAGTCAGCATGAATGGGACGAACCTGAAAGAAACAGCCTCCTTTACTGACCTACCTGGGAAGCATCGTTTCAACTACAGGCCGACGGAACTGACGAGAATATCAGAACCAGAATCGGGAAAGCAAGACAAGCTATCATTACTCTTAAGTCTTTGTATAGGTCAACAGCACTCGCCGTCAAAAATAAGATCCGGATTTTCAACTCCAATGTGAAGTCAGTGCTACTCACTGTACGGATCAGAGACTTGGCCATCGCGTCATAAAGAGCATCTCAAACAAACTTCAGACCTTCATCAACAGTTACCTTCGCTCAATACTCAAAATCAGATGGCCAGCCAGAAAAGATCAACAACAGGGATCTATGGCAATAAGCGAACCAACACAACAGGAACCGATTGCGAAACAAATAGGCAGGAAGAAATGGAGATGGATTGGCTAGTCATACTCTGAGGAAATCATCAAGTGACATCACTAGACAAGCCATCGCTCGAGTGGAACCTGAAAGGGAAGCGGGTGGCGAGTTGATCGTCAGTGTGAGAAAGGGGTGACTTGGAGGGGGTCATGTGAGGAGGAGATGAAAGCATGTGGGCAGACTTGGAGCGGGGTGAAAAAGTTGGCAGAGAACTGAAGGCAATGGAGACGCGCAGCTGAAGGCCTATGTTCCTCTAGGAATTAAAGGATAAAATAACAATAATAATAATATATATATATATATTCAAATATATGCTACTATACAGATTTTGAATGATACCGATAACGAAAGAAACTTTTCACTGAACGCCTTTTATTTTATATGACTCTGTGGGAATTAAGTTTCTGAGAGAAAAGGTATTAGAACCACTCCGCACATAGAAGATAGAGGTGAAGAAGTCACTAAGCCAACAGCAAGTACTGATTTCCATGAAGGGGAAAAATCTAAAGTAAGCCATTTTTTCACAGACGGCATAGCTCTAACTACAGGCAGACAGCACAGATGAGAATGTCCAATTGAATCACAATCGTGAAAAAGTACGCCTTCGTCAGTCTAAAAATTGTTGTGGGGATCTACACTACTCAACAGAAGAGATAACATCCAAATTTTCTAACAATAATATCAAGCCAATGCTTTCACATGGTTTGTAGACTCGACGCCCATGTCACCAAAACCACTCTCAACAGGAGACTGTAGAATTTCTTCAACTATTGAAAGTTTAAGGCACAAAGAACTGTGACAGTTAGATAGCAACCCAAAAATCTCTTGCCCAAAAAAATATTCTGAAAGAAACAGACGGTTTAGTGACATGATATGTCAGAAAGGCCGTCGAGTGGAACAAGAACAAGGAACGACAAATTATCCACAGTAATGTGATATGGATGAGATTATGTGGAAAGGAAATGAAAACTGCATCAATGAAATCGGAGATCACCTAAGCATTATACTGTGATCAATATTATAGTTCATATTAGTTTTTCACTACTTTCCTTTTCATACTGACCTACAATTATCAATGCCTAATGACCTATTCACGAAGTCATGCATTCTCACTACTATTCATTAATTTAATGTTATGTCACTGATATTGTTCTGATGATTTTAATGTTTACACGTACACAGCTCTAGATGTCATTCGAAACAGTACACTTTTACAGTGAAATAATATCGGGTCGTGCATATTTCTACTCAGTGTTCTATGAATAGTAACAAACCATGCATTTTCATATTCAACTTCGCGATTGGTAGTCACTTCTCAGATAGATATTTTGAAATCAGTAGATTTCCCAATGTTAAATAACGGCCATTAGTTTGATGTATTAGATAATTTACTAAGTCCTCACTTTCGGTAGAAAGTCATAGATAAGAAATTATGTATTACTATTCATTGACCTAAATCACTTTTATTTTCTCTGACTGAAGCCACAGATATAAGTTGATGAAGTGAATATAGTTGGAATGAAATATTGTCGACTTGTCAACTATAAAACGGAGGGAATGAGTGATTTTCATACCTGGGCGCTGATCAAAATATTCCACTAGTTTAAAATAACGCGATATCTGCCTTTATAGAACGTACATCTTTGAACGACTGTTGATTAACCTAAAAGTGAATAAAACGGTTTAACCTTTTATATTCTAACTTATCTTGTAATCATCTCTATTATTGCTTTTTTTTCTCAACTTTTTTGAGTGATAAAAACAATCCCTTTCTGGTCCAATATCGGTAGGTCATTGAATGATACTGACAACATTGAGCTAATCGATAGAAGTTGGAATTAATTAGCTACTGAATTCCTATAAAGTAGCTGAGTTGTGACTTGTGCGCTTGTTAATCTGAGGATCTTGAATGACGTTCATTGGGTACCTATTTCTGTAATAACTCCAACAAAGACGAAACCTCAGCCACCGTCCTACATTGGTGACAAAGTCTACTCTAAAGTGGGATATATTTATGTGACATTTTTTGTAAAAGATAAAGACTGTGCATCTTACCCATTCAAGCAGTGGGAACGCTTTCATAAGAGATTAATTAAACTAAATATGTAAGCATTTGCTCAAATAATGAATTTCGCGTAATATGCATTAAAACCTCCCATGCAAAATGCATTAGTTATTGATCATTTACGTATGAAATCGCTTTAATTTTTACCCAGTTTTCTTTTTTTAGGTTCATCCACATTAGAAATTGAAAAGTCAGTAACTGTACAAAATGTGTTTTTTTTAGGTGAAGTATTTATTCACAGTTATTGCATGAGATTATCCGGATTAAGTTTAAAGATAGCGTATAGGTAATCTGTTTTTGTCCATAACTAGTATTAGAAAGCAGCCGTTCGAAAAATAATCACAAGATTCCCTAATCTAGACGAATAAGTATGGTTGTGGCTAACAGTGACGTCAAGTATACACAGTCGAAATCCTATATGACATTATTGCCCCTGTATGCAATTGGACGCATATTTCTCATCTCACGTGTTAATAGACGGGCCGATTTACGAGACAGAGAAAGGAATTCTCACTTAGGTATCGCGGGTGTTGTCTGGTAGTAGGAAAAAATCTTCATACAATTTCTGAGCTGTTGATAAGAGTATGTAATATGGTCGTCATTTGATAGGATGATATAATTAGGACTCAAGCTGGTAATCTTTAACTCTAGTCTCCAGTCCTGCTGCGACATAAATTTCTATTTCATATATAATCACCAGCCACTATATATTTTTTAATCATGAGCTATTTCATTCTGAAAAAATTTAAATATCACCTCGACATAGGATAACTGGCGGGGTTATTGATTTTACAGGTCCAATCGTGTTTGGTACTTTCATAATTTTTTTGTTTTTAGATGTAATGGCCTGCAAACAAATATTTCACGTCTACAGTTTTTTGAAAGGTTAAAATTATTTTTAGAAATACACTAGTGTTGTTTTTTTTGTCAAGTACAGCAGAGGGTCCACTGAGAAAATCATTAGGATATGAGATCAGCCCATCTTCACTGTTTTAAGTAGAACCAAGACCTATTGTGATACGTGACATCTAAATAACGTTGAGGCTGAGACGGGACATTTTCTTTTGTCAAACAATTATGCCACCATTAACAGGCGTTGATTTACTGTAGGTGCTACACTAGCTGCATATTAAGTTCGGCTTGAATTTATTACGCAATTATATGTTAGAGTTCACTCAAGTAACGATAAATTCAAAGATAAATGTGGATTACTAGCCTAATTTAAATAGGCAGCCTCTAGATTACGGGATTGCTATTGTGTTAACGGACCTATTAGACCTGCTTTAAGAGTTCATCTGAATCTCCTTTAAGTCACAGAGAGTCAGACTAGACTACTTATTGCGCAAATTTCGTTCTAAACTAGATATCATCGAAGTAAAACAATAAACGAATCACATTTTATTCTCGATTATACTATATATCATTTTTTTAATCTGATGTGTACTTATTTATGAGCAATAATATTCAACAAAGTTATAGCTGATATATGCGTGTCGTATATAGCTATTAGGGTAACCTGAAGATATCAAACTTGGGAATAGGCTTTCTACTTTCATTACTATACTGTTACTTTAGGATCTCTTACATAATCTGAAAATAACATATTGTAACAAATGTTGAATCTCACTTATCTATCCACAAGTAACCTAGTTCACATGCATTAAAGTTTATGACACAAATGTTACAACGTAAAAGTTAACCATATTATGAAAAAATTTACAATTCTTTACAATAAATAGAAAGCGTTAAGTTTAGCAGGAATGAATAAAATGACTCAAGTGGAAATATATCAATGAAATCTCGTGTTACAAATTCCAGTTTAAAAGGTTGCACCGATATTCAAGTTGTATGTATGTATGTATGTCAGCTGTATATTAAAAGTTGATACATTTTTTTCAGTTTGTAGGCATTTACAGTTCCACATTATCCAAAATAATTTACAAAAGTTTACTTTCTGTTTCGAGATATTCGCATAATATATTTGAATAAGGAATTAATACTGAATATAGTTCCCTTGGATGAAAGTTAATTAAATACTTAACATTCATATATCTTTGAAATATACTTCTCTACACATTCATATTTATCTGTCGTTCAGATCCATGAAGACTTCATTGTATGAATGTATGAAGCTTTGAAGAAAAGGTTTTAGAAACATGAGAACCCATTGATTCAAGTTTTATGCGTTTTAAAAATTATGCAGCATGGGAATGTTATCACTGTTTGGTACTTTTCATTTGATTTTTGCTGAGAAAGTTGACTTTAAAATTCTAGTGGAGATAATTGTGTAAAACACTGAATATGTTGAATTCATTCAATATATCATTACATAGCAATAGCTGTTGCATTATCAAAGCTTTTTCCTTTCAATCTTTCTTCTCTTTGATTTGATTTACGACTACAAATAAGTCTTAAGAAAGCAGTTCTAAACTTTTCTGATAAAAATGCATACAATATTGGGTTGATACTACTATTTCCGTAAGCTAAACAGTTTCCTAAAATTTGCATAACTCTAAACAAAGGAGTTTCTGGATCCCCTGCGAAGTATTGAGTCAAAAAGATTACATGAATTGGTAGCCAACTAATACCAAATACAATAACCACAGTTACAACTAAATGAGTGACACGCTTCTTTGAACGCTGGGATTCTGCTGAATGCGCCATTTTAGACGATGGCCCACAACGCAGTCTCAGTATTAAGAAGATGTACAGTAGACAAATAATAATGAACGGAAATAAGTATCCAAACAAAAAGAATAACAGAAAGAACATTCGTCCCCCATGTGGATTGTCTCTTGCAATGTTAGTCTGCTCATCGATGCTAACCAACCCTGAATATGTACAGTATTCTGTAATACATGAACTCTCTCCACCTCCTGGTGGACCTCTCACTAAAACTGCACCAACAAACAACGGTATGTTAGTGACCAGTACTACAGTCCAGGTTATGATTACAGCGATTGTTGTATTTCGTTGTGAACGTACATTGATGCACTGAATTGGATAAACTACAGCCATAAAGCGGTCCAAGCTCATCAACACCAAGGTGTAAACACTGCAGTAGACAGAAACGTATGCTGAGTAATAATAAATGCGACACACATATAATCCCAATGGCCATCTGTCAGTAACATAGACAACTGCTGCAAATGGAACACAAATGACTATAAATGCCATATCAGCTACCGCGAGTGAGAAAATAAGAATATTGGTAGTATTACGCATTTGAGCATTGGCCAAAACAACAATCATCACAAACAAATTACCAACGAATCCAATTATTAGTATTAAACCAAAGATAACTGGTGTTACTATGTGAGAAAAAATGAAATAAACACTGAGATCATTTGTAGTGAATCCTATAAAACAGGACGAACTTTGCGAAATTTTATTCGAACTTGATGACTGAAGGTAGGGGACGGCCGGAACATTTGAAATATTCAGATGATCTGTTTCATTATGAATTTCTGCTTTTGCTAAAAAAGATACAGGCCATATACACAACAAAACAGTTAGCATAAGATGAAACTTCATGACTAATTTCCAGAATTAGAAAGAATTAATCAAACGGTTGGCCACACGTTTCACTGGATTGGCCTAAAAATAAAAAAGCGATACGGAAAGGATACTTATAATGCACTTACAAACAACACCTTTACAATTTTACAAACAATACAGTGCTTATATTTAGTAAAATAGTTCATAAAGCTGGCAGATTTCGACAAAGAATGTCAAAAGAGAAGTGGTATAAATCAGCCACTGTTTGTAACCTTATTTACGCTAAAATATTAACAATGCATGTTGAACGGAATGTGTATTTAGAACCACATCTTCAGAAAAGTTATTACCTATCATACCGTAGTTTTCAACTGCAAATCAAATATTTTCACTTTCTTCATTTCAAATAGTAGTCATAAAGGTATCTGGTAACAGTATTATCCCAGCGTCTGAATACAACTTCACGTACCCGCTTCCAAATTACTACTGAAAAAGCAGTTAAATTCTTCATGTATGGTGTTCCACGCATTGAACGTGCACAAAAATGTTAATGTTGAGTCCTATGACATTTACTGTAGGTAGTTAAGCGTATGAATTGACTGAGTTTTCTAATTAGGAGTTGTTTACTGCATATATTGACTAGCTGCTTTCCGATTAGCTAGCTGAGAAGTCTCGAAAGCGTTTCTTAAACACTGTAACAGTTATCGTCCCTTCAATATGTAAAATTGCACTAATATGTATGTGTGAGTACGGAAATGAACATGTATGATAAATGATAATGTTAAATAAAAAAGATAAAACCCATGCAATGATAAAGTTATGTCAGCATTTTGACTGGTTACCCTAAATCATTTTTTGAAAGCAACATCTTCAAGTAAAACCAAATCTTTCAACTTGTTATTTTTTTCCCTCACGTTCCCAGTGGAACATAGGGCCTCAAGCTAGGGGCTTGAAGTTTCACTAGCAGTGTTTAATTTTACAGGATGGGGTTGCTAGCCTCATGCCAAACCTATCCTCTTTACCAGCATTATTTCTTGCTTAGCGAGGTAAAAGAGTGCGTCGGCCGGTCATCGAAACCAGGACCCTGTGCATGGTCGGCCAGCATCCTAACTGCTGTGCCACCGACGCACAGCTTGTCATTTGGCTAATATTATCAGTCAAGGTTTTTTTAGTAGTATTTTCTAAATTCTACTATTTTATATCTGAAATACGCCACTGCCATACAGCATTAAGGATGTAATGTGACTCATCTAAATAAAATGCGGTATATAAATTTTATAAAACTTTGTGAACATTACTGAAATAAGCAAAATTAAATTTGTATACCGTGGAAAATAAGGTGTGGGAGATTCAGCAAATCAATACGAGTTTCTGTTAATAAAACAGCAGACCGTTAGTTACAGAAACCCTACATTTTTGCGTGTAAGCAAATCTAAGTTGTCAAACCAACGTAAAAAGGATGTATAGTGACATCATCCTCAAAATCACCACAGGATATGTAATTAAGAAGATAGAGCAAAACATGTTTGCATTAATGCTGTTTCTTCCTTTTTCTTTGTATATGGACTTTAAGATCTGGGAAATAACACTATAAATTTCCTCCGCTTGAGGATTTTACAATGAAAATTCACATGTTGGTTAGTAAAAAAATTTGTGCATACTACTGTAAAAATCTAAGGGAGAGAAAGATTTCTATTTCTATTTTCTATTTTTTGATTACAGCTTGATTCCACACCGTATTTTTGGTACAAGTATGGAATTTTCAGCGTGGATATCGGTAGCCCAAATTTTGCAGGCCGACCATAGATATCAGGTGTGCGTCGGTGTGGGCTCGAACCCCGGACCATGTGCATGGTCGGCGAGAGTCCTAACCACTGTGCCACCGACGCACAGATGTAAGTCGACTTCCACGATACTCTTCAAGTGTGTTTCAAAGTGTGTAAAAATGTTAAAAAATAACTAGACCGGAGACTACTTATTTTCTGTCCTGTTTGAGTAGTCATCTTCACCAACTTTTCACGGTTTAGGATACCTTGTGTGTTATCAGAACTGTGAGCTGTGTGACAACATTCTAGCAAAATAACTTATTCCTTTTCGAGTTGTTTATGGATGCATTACTTTGTTGAATATATCTCGATATATATAATGGAAGTTTTTTTTACTTTTTTCGAACCTATGCTAACCGTCCACAGCATGACATGTTCATTCAAGGTGGCCACGTTTCAAACTAGTTCAGGTTTTAATTGAATTTTAGATTTTCCCGTCGATTGGTTGAACCGAAGTGCTCATCACTGGCTGGGAAATGCAGGTACATCCCAAATAGGACGAAATGCGCATCTTGGATTCCGCTGCTAGTCAAATACATTTCCTACAATTAAATTTCAACCTTCTAGTGTTTAAATGTCCATTAAATTAGTATACATGATCAACAGTAAGTAAGTGTTTAAAATGCTATGCTGAATAAAAACTGAAGGCATAATAAACTTGAAAATAATTTTCATGCCAAATCAGAACCAGTTAAAGAATAGATGAAAACTTAGTACATTTGCTTCAGTACTGAAGTAGACATCCTAAATGAATAAGTAATGAAATGTGCAATAGGATTGTTTTCAGTGCACTGTGAATCGAGCAGATGGCGTTCTCAAATTTGTATGGTTGTCAAATTTTCAGATAGGATAGCAAACTACATTCGTTTTTATCCATCAAGCTACATGTAGACTTTATAATCAGTATACTTTTTCTTGATCTAAGACAATTTCCTCCCGTTATTATTTAGTGATGTGCGCCGGTGGCACAGCGGTTAGAACGCTCGCCGACCATGCATAGGTCCAGGTTTCGATCCCCGGCTGACGCCCTCCTTTACCTCACTAAACCAATAATAGAACTGTCAAAGAGGGAAGGTTGGGCATGAGGTTAGCAACCCCATCCCGTAAAAATAATCACCACTGCTAGTGAAACTTCAAGCCCCTAGCTTGAGGCCCTATGTTCCACTGGGAACATGAAGGGAAAGAAAATTATTTAGTGCCTGCTTATCAGTGTTAAAAACTGAGAATATGTCGACGAATGACAGTTTTCGTAAGTCTTCCATTTCTCAGGATGCGCCTAAAAAATACGAGCAACGAATCCCAAGGATTATGTGAAGGGCAGAAGTTAAAAAGTGTACTGGTGTTGAGTGACACAAATCCAGACACCGTACATTTGCATATGCTCACAATATATTCTTAATAAAAGGCTTGCGACTGCTTTATTTCATATGCAGTATGTAGGCAGATATTTGATATGTTTTGTTAAACTTTATTTAAAGTTGAACAATAAAGGTTCAGTTTTCAAGACTTTTAATCTATTTCATTTTACTAAAACTTGAAAGACAACTTTTTTTCTGATTATTTCTCATTTAGTCAGGCAAACATATAAACACACGCCCGTTACTTAATTTCAGTATCTATTACTAAGTATGTCTCATCATATTTTTTTATTCAAACTTTTATGAATAATTACTAAATTTAATGGAAGCTATTTATTGTTTTCTTGAATTTCTTTTAGGAACCTAAATAAAAATATTGATTCAGACTTCGGGAATTCCCCATCGCATGATATTCCCATTAAATTAATGTCAATATATTTTTATGGTGATGTATGATGCATTTGTATGAAGTGATGCTTAAAGGCTCATAAACACCTGTTAAACCTTTTTTCTTTTCACTTACTTTATTGATTAAGGAACAACTCAACAGGGAAAATTTAGACATTTATACAAAATGAAATATAACTTCCTTGAAGTTTATATTTGCAGGCGTATATAATATGGTTGTGAATTCAAATAAAACTCAGAGGAATAAAGAAATGCGTATGGCATATAATTGTTTGTTTGCTTAAATTACAAAGGTAAACATCAGAAGTAAATTATTTACCACATAGATGTTGGTAGCATTAATAGCTCTGTCATTATTTGACTCTCCCAACAACCTTGCTGTTTTAATCAGAAATAAGTTTAAGGATTCTGTCTTTAAAGAGTCTGTCATGTTTACAATTGTTCCCTCAACACAAACAAACACTTAGTTGGCCAGCGTTGAAAAATTCTCAAACTGAAGGAATTAGCTGACATTAAGCAAGATCCACAGACTGTATGCACAAATATGTTGCGTTCACTACCTTTATGCCTTAAATACCTTCCTAGATCTCATTTTGTTTTAAGTCAAAAATACTTAAAACCACCCAATCATATCATGTATTATTTGAAGTGTTGACAAATGTATTTATGTAACTCTATGAATTTACCTATTACACTTACAATCATTTAACCGAGAAATGGATTTAGATATATAATCGGAATGTGAATTATATGAATGAGTTTTAAGACAACAATGGTAAACATATTTGTTATTATTGAAACTTGAAACTGCTGATAGATGAAAGTGTATGCTCAGTGGCTTTATTAAAATGATGAGACCAGAATACTTTTGTACCAATAAAGATGCACTCCAGCTACACAACTTTAATTCTGATCTCTAAACAGACAAACCACCCGGCTTTATTACTTTAAGAGGAACATATTAGTGCCTTAGTGAATTTTGGTGGACCGCATTATGTGGAAGACTGTGGGGAGTGAGAAGACAGGAATACGCTGGACTGACAAGACTCTAGAAGATATGTATTTCGCAGATGATTTATGTCTTATGTCACACAAAGGCGAAGACCTACAGGCGAAAGCCAAAAAAACTGAGAGAAGAAACAGTAGAGACAGGACTTCAAGAGGACACAAGAAGATGGAGGTGATGAAGGTAATCAACCACCACCAACAACAACAAGCATCAGTCACTCCAGAGGAATAAATTGGAAAGAGGTTACTTCTCTCACTTATTCAGGTAGCATCGTTTCAAGTACATGCGGAACGGATGAAGATATTATAGCTAGAATCGGAAAGACAAGGTACACCATCACTTTTTAAATCTACGGCAGTCAACATAGACAACAAAATTTGAGTTTTGAACCATGAAACTGAGTCACTCAGTTCCCCTGTATGGGTCAGCAACCCGGCGCATCACGAAAAGCATTTCCAACAGGTTTCAGACTTTTATCAACAGCTGCCTTTGTTCCATACTGAGGATCAAATGGCCAGACAGTAATAGCACCAAGAAACTAAGGGAAAAACCAATCAAGAATCTTTTGCTCGAGAAATATGCCTAAGGAAAGAATAATTTGTCGTACTCATGCTGAAGACGCCGTTGTATGATATCTCGCTCCAGACCATTGGGTGAAACTCGAAGGGGAAAAGGCGAGTTAGGCATGGACAAGGGGTTGACACTGCGAGGAAGTCGTGTGAAGAACAAATAAGGACTTATGGGCAATTGTGAGGCCGAATAAAGAGGACTGCAGGGAACAGGACAAACTGCAGATCCACTGGTGAAACCTTATGTTCCACTCGGAACCCATGGGAACAATAAGAAGTAGTCGTTTCGGTATTAAATAAGTCTACTAGTTTCTTATCATTGTCTCGGAGTGTGTTATGCCAAACAAACTAATCTACTACGAAATTACGTCCTTAGGTTTACATAATAAATGCAATGATAATACCTTTAAGGGTTATAGAGATTGATTGTGGGTTGTCTACCATGAGTCAATTAGCGCTCAAAAAGAATACTTTTTAAAAAAATACTCAATAACGAATAATAAATAAGTGAATGGTGTTTGACAGTGGTTAATTCACTCATACAGTTTATAAACTCACCATCATTTTATTGCAGTATTCCATCGGTTTAGCATGAAAGCTTTATTCACATCTCTTTGGCGAAGATGAGAAATCTTTGCATATCTGAATGACTTTTTTAATTGAACGTTTTGATTAATGTCAATGTGCGATTTAAAAAAAATCCGACCTTTTCTGGTGGTTAGTAACATCCAGAATACAGGCTGACTCGTGAATTATGTTTCAT